TTCATTGCCCCACGCCTGCATCAGCAAAGGTTTCTACACGGTTTAGGGTTTAGGGTTTAGGGTTTAGGGTTTAGGGGAAGAGGCGTGAAGGTCTGAGTCTAGGCTCGGGGTGTTCACAACTATAGGGTTCATAGGCTTAAGATGGCGTGAAGTTTGAGTTTAGGGTTTAGGGGTTTAGGGGTTTAGGGGTTTAGGGTTTAGGGGTTTAGGGGTTTAGGGGTTTAGGGTTTAGGGTTTAGGGTTTAGGGTTTAGGACTCAGGGTCTGGGGCTTCGTGATTAGGGTTTGGGGTTTGCTGTGTACTGTGTACTTAAGAAGCCCAGCCTGCTATGCCATAGCTTTGCATAGGCTATGCTATGCATCAGGGTCCATGGGGTCAAAAAAATGCACAAACCGCAATGTAGGGGCCTTAATAGATTAGAATAGGGTTTGGGGGGTTCCTTGTTAGAACTATATAGTATACTATACCCCCCAAACCCTACTCTAATTCTTAAGGCCCCTATATTAAACCGTAGTATGGAGGTGATTGGGATTCTTGAGCTATTAGGGTTCTCTTGGGCACCAGGATGTCGGTCCTCCTAAACTTCACGGAGGCCCTAAACCCTAAACCCCAAACCCGAAACCCTAAATCCTAACACCCTAACACCCTAAAACCTAAACTCTAAACTCTAAACCCTTAGCCCGGAAAACCCTAAACCCCTAAACCCTAAACCCTAAACCCCAAACCCCAAACCCTAAACCCCAGAAAACCCTAAACCCCTAAATCCCAACTCCTTGAGGAGTTTCTTCTTGGGCGTGCCCATCTTCTTGGGCTTCATTCTTGGGATCTCGAAAAAATACTTAGGGGGTTTAGGGTTTTAGGGTTTAGGGTCTGGGGTTTAGGGTTTAGGGTTTAGGGTTTAGGGTTCAACCCTAGGTCCTCACCGCGGCTTCCCCAACAACAGTAGTTATTGAAATAGGGGCCGTAAGAATTGGGCTTGGGGGGTAGATTGTAGTATACCTAGAATAAAAAGGACCCCTCGGAATAAGATTGGCAGTAATTCCGACTTCTATAGTGCTCTATCTGTGCGGAGTGCCTGAGGCAAGGTGTTAAGTGTTCAAGGTTCACTGCAGGCCACTTGGTATAAGTACTCCCTAAACCCTAAACCCTTAAACCCTTAAACCCTAAACCCTAAACCCTAAACCCTAAACCCTAAACCCTAAACCCTAAACCCTAAACCGAACGAGAGGCACAATCAGACAAGACCACCATTACAATCCTTTCGAAAGGGGGCGGTAAACGAAAGTCGGCGTCCATGATACCAATGTGTTTAGTATTTGGGCCTGGAATCAAGTTTCAGCGCCGTTGATCCATCAACGTGCAGGTTTGGTAGCTTCAAAACCCTAAGCCCTAAACCCTAAACCCTAAACCCTAAACCCTAAACCCTAAACCCTAAACCCTAAACCCCAAAACCCTAAGCCCTAAACCCCAAACCCTTCGGCCCTTAAATCCAAGCGGCCAGAGTAGCGGTGGAACCGAGGTAGTAGGACAGGGGCTTGCCCTGCACATCCTCAAGCAAAGCAGGTCAAGACGGTCAGCTGACCTTAAGTTTAGGGTTCAGTCGGTTTAGGGTTTAGGGTTTAGGGTTTAGGGTTTAGGGTTTAGGGTTCAGGATTTAGGGTTTAGGGATCCCAAAACTACCGACTAGCCAGGTTTTCGGGTTTGGGATAGCACTTGTTTTGAAGAGCTAGTCTCCGGCCGGCATATATTGACTACTTGGCAGAATACATGGATCCTTGGTAGTAGGCTGACTGCGACCCAGCCTGATTTTGTCCAATCCTCTTGGAAGGTAAGCTGAAAATAGTGTTGGTTGGAAATCCTGCTATGTTTGTACAAGAGGAGCCCGCCTTTTCGAACAAAATCCCTAAACCTTAAACCCTAAACCCTAAACCCTAAACCCTAAACCCTGAACCCTAAGAACCAAATGCAGAGCTAAAGGAGAGCCGGAGGCACGGTTTCCCGAGGTTCTCGGGGTAGGAGACTATCGTTCTAAAAGGGGTTTAGGGTTTAGGGTTTAGGGTTTAGGGTTTAGGGTTTAGGGGGTTAGATTGGGACCCAACCGGCCAAGTAACCTGCTACACAGGCAGCAAGGCTTTTGGGGTAATCTAGGCGCCGCAATAGGAGGAAGAAGGCTCGGGTGGTACAGTTGGCCATCACGATAAAAGGAAAGGACTTTCAGGGGATGCTAATAGGGTTTAGGGTTTAGGGTTACGTCCTAAACCCCAAAAAAACCCTCTATATCATGCTATACGGGAGCCGAGCTTACCACGCATGTCGGTTTAGGATTCAGGTCTATAGGACTCTCTGTCACGCATGCCCTATGCAACAAGCACTTACCAACTCTCAGCCGCTTCACCCTGCATCCGTCCTGTTTCCTGAGGCCGCTGTGGTAGAGGCACTCGTAGCCAACTTCCATTGAAAGGCGGGTGTTTGGCTCCATCTGGACAGAGGCAGGGCCATGGAAAAGTTAGGAGGGCTTAGTTTATCTATCTGGCCCGAAAAGAAACAAAGTACCATGATGTTGGGAACGTAAGTCCATGGTGGTAGTATACATGGAGCCTCTTAGCTACATGCATACAGGCACACCTATGTTGTGGACCTTAGGTGCATTTCTTAGTTGAAACACCCTAAGCCCTAAACCCTAAAACCCTAAACCCTAAACCCTAAACCAACTTAACTAGCACTCAGCCCTCAACCATGCGAGCTGGAGCTGAAAGCCACCCAAATAAGGGTTAAGGGTTTAGGGTTTAGGGTTTAGCCCTCGTACAATCAATGGATGTTCGTCAACCCAGTTACCTACTCAGCCCCTCTTGCCTGAGTATATGTAATGAAGGGCATGAATAATTAGAATAAGGTTTTGGGGGGCTCCCGAATATAATTGCAGTATATTATACCCGATTCTGATTGCTGAGGCCCCTATTTGATGTATTATCAATATCTTTGTGTATATATATATATACATCTATATCTATATATATATATATATGTATATATATATATATATATGTATATATATGTGAAT